TGTCCTACAATTACAATTAGGATCTCCAAGACAAAATGTGTCCAAACATGAAGAGTCAAATGAGAAAGACAACAATGCAGGGTCAGAGATATATCTGCACAGTCTCTCAGAGGAAACCCCCTCAGAAGACAATGAGGTTCCTTGTGTATCTCTGAAGGAGATGCCTCCAAAGCTGGAGTTCTGCTCCACCAGTCTAGCTCCTGCGTCCTACACACCTCTCGTTGTCGCCGCTGCGGACCCAGCTCCGAGTGCCACAGCGGCACCGGTGCTCCTGCCTCTGTTCCCCTGCCTATGGAGTTCCAGGTGGTCAGGCTGGCACCTGGACATCAGGCTTCGAGGTTGGTGGCATGGCCTGCCCCAGTCAGTGGGTTTACCACCCCAGTTTCTCCCGAGTTCCCCAGTGCTCCTCCAGAGATTGTTAGTCGCTGCCTCCGGGCAGCTCAAAAGACACCTCGTCACCGTAGTTTCCACCTTCTGCGTCGCGGATGGCCGCCGGACCCCCCCAGTGAGATTCACTCCCGGACGCATGAACGCCCTCAGGACCTCCCATCGGACCTCCCTCGACGCCTCTTCCCACTGTGTGGGTTGTTTTTTTGTTGATTTGGACTCTGAGCCCTTTGCTGTGTTTCTGCCCACCCTGTTGGGTTGTTTTTTGTTGTTTCTTTGTTTTGGACTCTAGCCCCCCATCCGGCACCCCTCCACCCACCCTGATGGTGTTTTTTTTTTTTTTTTTTTTCTCTCTTGGACTTTTTTGGGTGTCTTGGAGCCGCTCTTAAGGGGGTACTGTCATGTTCCGTGTTTTTCTGTGGATTTATTTTGAGTCTCTGTGTCCTCTGTGCTCCTCGTTGTCCCGTCTTCCCCTTGATAGCTCCCAGGTGTGTCTCGTGTTCGTGATTACCCTCTGTGTATTTAATCCCTCCTGTGTCCTTTGTTCCTCGTCGGGTCCTTGTCGTTGCTTGTCGTGTCGTGTGAGTTATCCTGTCAACTCGTACGACCAGTGTGCTACTGGCGTGAGCCCTGGATTCCACTCAGCCGTGCTGCCTGGCCGTGGACTTTGCTGTTTTGATTGTATTTTTTGGATCATTGTCATAATCATTAAAACCACCTTTTACTCCTTACCTGGGTCTCGAGCGTCTGCCTCACCATCTTCAACACCACTTTATGACAGTAACTTTTGGTAATTGCGCAATGTACATTGTCCTCAAGAAACGCAGCATTAATATCTAGAAAATTGAATTTGCGAACGGTTCAGATTGAAGAAACATAATGTCAGGTGAGAGTTGCTTTCTAGATGCAGTCAAGGTTTTGATGGGATCCGTTTTAGTGGCCTTAGCATCATGTCTGCTATTTGAAGATGTGACGTGGTCCTACTGGCTTCAACAGATCCAACCCTGGGCGTTTTCACCGAGGTTCTTTATTTGAAATTTTAAATTGACATTTGTGATGTCAATTTTCAAAATGGACCAGCAAATCTTTCAGTAAGCAGTAATTTTTCCTCATGTCCACCAGGGCACTCTGTGTTCCGTCGCCCATTGTGTGTAAAATAAAAACAAATATTGTGGCAAAACATTGAACTGATTAACTAACTCTGACCATCCAGTCAGAGGGCAGAAAACCTCAGCGCCACAGTTTCAGGAAGGCTCTGTGAGGTGAATCTGCAAGCTGATTGGTTCAAAGAACCGCTGCGCTGCTGTATGCTTTGCATACCGTAGACCTGTTCTACGTTACGTAGATCGTTTCTAAAGACATCATACAGCATCACTAACTGCGATGTTATGCTTCCTAATCATTCTATCTTCCAGTTAACAAATCTTTTACATTTCTTTGAACTTTTCAGTTTTATGGACTTGAGGAAAATGGGTTGAGTGAAAAGAAGTTTCACCTCTAATATTTCAATTTTTCAATATTTCAACAAACAAAAAACTCTGCATGGTATTTCCACCAGGACCTTGATATAATGAGCTGGGTTTAGTTTCTCCACTGTAGATGGTGCTAAAAAAAAAAAAAAAAAAGAAAACCTTTAATGTCCCTTTTACTGTTTCAGATGATAGCAGCTTCATCCAGAGGCAAACAGTTTCATCGTCAGCTTCACATAGTATTTTGACTAAAAGTGAAATTCTGTCTTGACCCAAGAAGAGAGTCACTGGTTTCCAATTTGTCTGATTGTGATTTCTTATATGGATCTACTAAATTATTTTGGTCAGTAAAATCAATCATACATCCAAAACGAGTAAGACGGTTTCATTTACAGTGACAGGAATATTAATGAATAAAATCCAACCTACATTTATATTATTATTTGTTAGTCATATGTTTATATATACATTGTCTAAAATGTCATCTTCAGCGGAAAAAAAATAAAAATACATGAGACAACTTTATGGTATAATAGTTGATTCAAAAGGCCCAAAACCAAATCTGATGAAATTTCTAATAACTTATCAAATGTTTTATATAACATAAACAATCCTTAATCAACACAATGTAAAGTTATAAAGGGTCTTTATTGGTCAAACAGAAGACAGATATTGCATAAAAAGCTAAACAAAACCCCCAAAAAGATTCGCCCCATAAAATGTTCAGTTCATTTAAAACCATCGTAAATGTGTGTGTGAACATTTATTTCACACAAGTAATAAAGCAATACGTATTTACATGCTATAAAGCATATTATTGAAGTTTGGCTTGTTTTTGCATTATTTCATTTTTTTTCCCTGTGGAAATACATTTTCTATATTTGTCACAATTTGCGTGGTGAGATGGTGAGGCAGGACGCCAGGAGACCCCGGGTTAGAAAAAGAGGTGGTTTAATGGTGATAAAGTCCAGAACACACAGTCGACAAAACAAGTCTGCGGCCAGGCAGCACGGCTGAGCGGAAGCCGGGGCTCACAACGGTAGCAACTGGTCAAACTGGCCGACAGCACAAAACAGGACGACGAGACAACGACAAGGACCCAACGAGGAACAAAGGACACAGATGGAATTAAATACACTTGAGGGTAAATCACAAACACAAGACACGCCTGGGAGTAAACAAGAGGAAGACAGGACAACGAGGAGACTCGGACACGGAGAACTCAAATAAATACACGCAAAAAACATGGAACACAACAATATTATTATTCAAATGTCATATAAGATCTATTACTTATATACAACTGCAATGCTTTTTTTTTTTAAGCTAAAGCCAAAAATCAAATTTTGTTTTGTGTTTTTCTTCATTTAAAACCATTAATACACTATTTTATGAAAAAAATAAATAAATAACACCAACTCAAAACATCTAGTCAAAACCCACATGTACAAATGTAAAACTTCAGCAGAGGCCACGCCTCCAGGAAGCAATTGTTTCTCAGTAGCCGAGGGTCCAAACCACATATGTCAAAGTCAAGGCCCGCAGGCCGAATCCGGCCCGCAAATTAATTAATTGTGTCCCGCTGGATGATATTTAATTACTATTACTACTATTACTAGTAGTCAGACTGCAGTTACTTATCGAAATCACTTTGCGTTACTGTGCATTACTATTTTCTTTTGTAATTGAATTTGACTTCCTCTCTGCGGCTTGGGGAGTTATGAGAAAGTATCAGCAGAAACAGAAACAATGGAGGGAGATTTGCATTTTGTTGCTGGAAAAACAGGAATTATGTTGAGTTTCGCTCACCAAGTTATATTAGAAGTGGCTTTGGGCTTGTTTTTATTTATCTATTTTTTTTTAAAGTCACTTGCAGATTTTAATGAGTTGCGGGTTTTGGGCTTAATAAACGACATAAACCCAGAATTCTCAGAAGCACACAAAGACAAGAATCTGGACATCATAGAGCAGCACAATAATGCATTTTCAGTTTATAAAGCACTTTAATTAATGCATTTATCTTGACATTAAGAAACATTTAGTTTTTCTAAACAATTACATTTTTTTGCTGTTTGCCTGCTGAAAATGTTTTCCCTTGAGGTCACTGACAGTCATAGCAAAGTATTGCTTTATTCTTTTAATGTACAGAACATGTGATTTTTCTTTGAAGGAAGTTTGTTGTTGTCTGTTTACCTGTTGAAACATGGTTTCACTTGAAATTACTGACAGATCCATAAGAAAATATCACTTTATTCATTTACTCATTAAATAATACACACCGTGTTAGGTCTTGGTTCAATAGGCTATGTGCAATCATTTCAATATGTTTTCATAAACGGTGAACCAGTCCAGCTCTCGGCTAGTAGCAAATTTGGTCTCTTGGTGTATTTGACTTTGACATCCCTGTTCCAGACCTTTACTTTGGATAAAGTAAATGGTGTAGAATAAGGGCCAGGTTTTTATCAGGCTTTGAAAAACATGAACCATAAACTTCTAGAATTTGTATCTATTTGTACACATCAAATCACGACTGGTGTAATGTTCACCAGTTTCATATTACAAGCTAACTAATGCAGAACAGCATCACAAACTCATTTTTCATAATGAATTCTTTTTAGTCCAGAGATTTAAACTGTAGATGAAAAGAAAACCATTCTGCAGTTAAATCAGTTTATTGATGTCAAGGAAACAAAGAAACCTCTCAGGTAGATAATATATTTAACATAAACCATTTCAAATGAAACTAATGTCCCTCTACATAGATTCATCCTAAATGTAATGTGTTTTAAGTTGACGGAACATACTTAAACAAACACATTTACAAAATGACAGAAGAAATGTCCCAAGCAGAAACTATGACTTTAAGCCCTCATATGAATATGTTTTATTAAAAAAGTTCACAAAGCCAAACAACCAAAAAACAATAAGTCACTTTACTGAAAAAGTCAAGTGGTAAAACTCATGTCACCAGAGAGCAGAGTGAACTTTAACCCTTAGAACAAATGAAGTTCAGTTCCTCTGTGTCGTTTCTTTGGAACCATCTATGTTCTCCTCCAGCCTGCATGGCTCCAGACGTGTTGCAGTCGTTCATCCATCCTGCCGAGGTCGAGTTCTTATAGACGATCATCTGCTTACAGACCCAGAACCAGACATTCTTGAAGCAGTTGAAGCGCAGACCCAACCAGACGAAAGGAGTCGATGCGTCCTTGACTTTCTCCTGGATCAATATCTGTTCATCCATGTTGGTGATGGTGACCAGGTCATCATGATGATCTCTGCAGTAGGTCAAGGCCTCATGCCAGGTTTTATTTTCTTTGATCAGGATCACTTTATCTGTAACAGAAGGCAAGCATAAACAAAATTCTTCTCTACTTTAAAATTAAAAGTGAATGTACTTCGGAAGACATTGAAGATGAACAAATTAAATGTTATTGTGTGAACATTAAGGTCACAACAACTCACCATCATAACAGATGAAGGGTTTTTTCTCATCACAGTTCTCATTCTTCCATCTGCCTCCATCATCAAACACAGTCATGGCACATTGACCACTATTGATTAACTCATTATTAAACTGTAGATTCCAGTGTCTGAAAGAGAAACTGCTTCCATCCGACCACCTCCACCTGTCTCTGAACAGACCAATGTTTACCTGAATAGATCCATAGTTCATCAATTTCTTCACTTCTTCATCCTGTAGCTGCTTCATTCCACTGATCAGGTCTGTGTGTTTCTCTCTGCAGTAATTCTGAGCTTCCAGCCAGGACTTCAACTCTTTAATCAGGTGATATTTATGGGTTGTGTTGGTTTCTGTGGAGTGAACAGATAAATTTAAATTTACAGTTCTATTTTTCAAGCTGAGCATAAAATTAGTTTCACTGGGAAACACAAACAGGAGCCATGTTCCATGTTCTTTTAGGTTTTTGGTGGAAAGATTTTCATGATTCAACTCACAGTTTAATTAAACTATGAACTTAGTCATCATTCTGTGTTTTATTAATACTCACGATTAAAGCAGGCAAAGAACTTCGGGGCCCCGCAGCCGGCATCTCCCCATTGGAGATTTTGATTCAGAAATACACAGTTTTTATACTTTGGGTTTCCATTATCAGTTGGTGCTCCTGTGATCCAGTTTGTCTCACTTTCATTGAACTCCAGTCCAGGCAGAGACCAGTACCATGTTCTGGTACCATGTGTTTGATCATACAGACCAATCCAAGCTTCTCTCTTGGAAGCTTGGATTGTTCAGTTCCTCTGTGAATAAATTGCCTAATAAAACAATTCAAACCTCTAACCTGATTGTTGCCTTCCTCCATATTTCTTCTGGATTCTCATCTCCTTTGCTTTCACTACATTATACTAGTTTGGCCGTAAGTACTACAGTCTCAAATGAACTGATGGTACTTTAGTTTTCTGGATTTGTGAACAGTAGCTGAATTTGATCATGTCATAAATTGAAGAATTGATGTGGAACAGTGGGAGTAAACACAGGAGCTTTATGGTGCATAAAAAAGATTTATGTCACTCATATTCACACAGCAGTATAAGGATTGGTGCAACAATGGCTGAAAATGCCTTGCTCAGAGGAACGTCAGCATGTAGCAAGATGGACATGAGGATGAAGAGGACATCAATCGACAACTTCTGATGATAAAATGACTCTCTGGAAACAGCAAAGAGCCAAAAACATCCGACAGAACCCGTCCAGATCAAGGGTGGCTTAAAAAGCACTGAAATGTTAAATACATAATATAAAAGTATGTACACTTGATGTCAATGACAAAAGTATAAGACACGATGTATGACACTGGCACGTTGCACAGCACACTAGAAAACCAAACAACAGCAAAGAGTATTTTCTCAGTTAGGAAGTAAAATGATTTAAACCAACATGTAATATGAGTCACACACTAAAGAATGAAGCGAAAACAAAAGAACAGAGTAGATTTTACTCTTTAGAACAGATGAAATTAAGCTTCTCATCATCATTTCTTTTGAACCATTGATGTTTCCCTCCCGTCTTCATGGCACCAGACATGTCACAGTCGTCCATCGGTTCATCTGAAGCCCAGTTCTTATAGCTGACCACTTCATCACTGACCCAGAACCAAAAATCCAGAGTGCAGGCGTAGTGCAGACCCATCCAGACATAATCAGTCGATGCATTCTTGACTTTCTCCTGGATCCATATCTGATCGTCCATGTTGGTGAAGGTGACCAGGTCATGGTGGTGATCTCTGCAGTAGTACAAGGCGTCCTCCCAGGTTTTATTTTCTTTGATTAAGATCACTTTATCTAAACGAAGAAGCCATGAATATGAATAAGTCTTCACAGCAAACCCAAAATAATAGTATGAACATCAAAGGTTACGACCTCTAATCTCATCAGTGTTTTTGAAATCCCTTACCGTCGTAACAGACGAAGTGTTTCTTGGCCGTGCATCTCTCACTCCTCCATCTGCCTATATAGTTAAACTTAAACAGGGCACATTGTCCACCGTTGGGTTGTTGGTCGTCGAAGCCTTTGCGCCAGTGTCTGAAAGAGAGGCCGCTTCCATCGGACCACTTCCAGGCGTCTCTGGACAAACCGAAGTGCACGTGTGCTTCATTTCCCACAGAGCTCAACACATTCTCCGATCTGGCATCCTGAAGCTGCTTCGCTCCGCTGATCATGTCTGTGTGATTCACTCTGCAGTAAATCTGAGCTTTCTGCCAGCTCCTCTTGTCTTCAATCAAGTGGTATTTCTGGTTTCTATCATTATCTGTGGAGAAAGCAAACAAAAGAAAACACATTACAGGTTGAGAATATTTGAGGAAATTTGATGATTTTGTTACACTTGCAATAACAAATCGGTACCACTTGATGAGAAATAGCTCCTCTTATAGATGGATAGTAAAAGATTTATAGATATGTTGTCAATTCATCTGTAAACACTTTATAAATCATTTATTAGGCATTAAGAGTGAGAAGGAGACTGTATGCAAAACAACTGCATTTACGAATCCTTATTGTGTTTACAAAGCAGTCTGAGGTTTGATGTACCAACTGTAGTTAAAATCTACAGGTGAACAGAAATGACTCATTATTTGGCAAGAAAGTGGAAGATTTTGTCTTCTTCTCATCCTGAATTAATGTATAATAAACAGCTACTAATGATTTATAAAGGACTTAGAAAAGAATAAATAACATATCTATAAACTGTTCATCAGCCATTTATAAAGGGAGTGGTACCGATACATCTCTCAGCCAGATGGTTTTATTAAATTACTTTCTGGGTTTTCTTATTACTCACCATCGTAGCAGAGGAAAAATTCCACATTCTGACAAGATTCACCTGCCCATGTGAAATTTTTAAACAGGTACCCGCAGTTCTCGGATATTTCAGTCGCATGTTTGTCAGTCGGTTCTCCTGGTTTCCAGTTTGTCTCACTTTCATTGAACTCCAGTCCAGGCAGAGACCAGTACCATGTTCTGGTACCATTTGTCTGATCATACAGACCAATCCAAGCTTGGTTTTTACTAGCAGCTGAGATGCTGAGGAGTCTCTTCATGCCCTTCATGTTAGTCACTGTGACCAGGTCAGTGTGTTTCTCTCTGCAGTACTGCTGAGCTTCAGTCCAGGTTTTATTCTCATTAATGTAGTGAAACTCATAGAGCTGACAGTCAATGAAGCAACACTGATCTGAAACATGAAACATGCTGGTGTTAATTTAGTGTGATTTCAGCAACACAGGCTAAATGTGATGAAAAAAATCTCGTACAAATCTTGTATTCTAGTTGTGTTTCAGATCAACTCACCCATCAGGAAGAGCAGAATCAGACTCCACTGCATCTTTGCTGTCTGATGAATTATTTTCCTCCAGCAGTTTGTCTCTGTTGGATGAAGAACATTCAAACACTTCATATCAAGGTTTGAAAAGTTGCAACCATGCTGGGAGAGCAGAGGAGTCGAAGTCAGACTGGAAACAGAACATTTAAATATCAAGCACAGAAAGAAAGCCAACACACGGACCTGGTTACCTTTCATGTCTCTTCAAACCTCCGCTTGACGTTCTGCTCGAAGCTCCTGGGTTAAACTTCGACTTCTACTGAACAGCGATCACATAAGAGCGAGTCTTTGTCAGCATTTGAATGTTCAAACGGGAGGATGGGTATGTTCTTTACAAAGGCGATAACTCTGGTCACCAGTTGGACAAGAAATGACAGAAAGTAAGAAGCTGAAGCAACTTATGCAACTTATATCAGGAAAATAACATCTGAACTATTTTAGCATCAGACTAAAAAATAAAAGAAATAATACTATGTATTAATCTCAGAAAAACTGGGGGGTTTTGTTAGATATTTAGATAAAAAATAACTGTGTTTACCTCAATATCATCTGCTTTAAGTAAATGATGAGATATTTATCCTACTGCCTGATTTGGCTGAGCTTGTTGTTCTGTCTGAGCTACATTCTGACCTTTGACCAGAGGATGTTAAAATAAAAATAGTTTAGTTTAAATTATTTGAAATTCTTACACAAGAAGATCATATATGATTCTTTATAGATTCTCTACAGCCTTCTCTTCATCTTGAGTGAAAAAGCTTAATGTCCTGCTTTTATTTTGAAAGCCAGGGATCTTACTTTGAATGTGACCACTGCGATTTTTTTCAACTGGTGTCTCATTTGTCAGCTTTTTCTATCTCAATATGCAAAATTTCAAAAATGATTTTTGATGAATTATTCTATATATTGTATATTTTGTGCAGGTAAACAACTCAGAAATCCCCGTCTCTGTTGCCGGGACAGATCTCTGATGCGTCCGCTAAATGACCAACACAGCAGGTATTTTGCATGTCTGCCTTCGTGCCGATGCAAAACATCGTGAGGAGGAAACGCAAATGTACTTACCAACCGCAATGTGACTTATTATGGCACGGGGAAATTTGTACCTTTGTCTGGTCCGCCCTCTTTTTTTTCTTTCTTTTTTTTTTTTACAGCACTCTTCTAGAATTGTAACTAGAAGAAGTGTGGTGTGAATTACATTTTGGTTAATGTTGGGGTTAGGAATAGACCAGTAATGATGGGGGTTTGTGAAAATGTCTGCTTTAGGCATAAATGTAATCACTAAAATGAATGGGAGTCATTAGTTTTTATAGAAGTACATGGATATGTGTGTGTGTGTGTGTGTGTGTGTGTGTGTGTGTGTGTGTGTGTGTGTGTGTGTGTGTGTGTGTGTGTGTGTGTGTGTGTGTGTGGGGTGTGGGGTGTGTGTGTGTGTGTGTGTGTGTCTTTGGTGTTTGAGGTGCTTTTGTTTTTTAGACAATTATCCTGCAGAGACGGACCAACCAGAAGTACAGCTCACCAGAATTGTAACTTGTAACTTAGTAAAAGGATACAAATCTACAAATATCTGACAATTCTAAGACGGATCCGGTGAATTTGGAAGTTTAATGATAAAATTCAGTGATCATCATCTGCTTAACAGTATTATTGTACAGGTGGGGACAAAATTATTGGGTTCTTTCTATCCCATTTCCTCTTTTCCAAGTTTTCTGCTAAATTGTACAGAATAAAATGTCTCAACATGTGGAAAAGTTTTCAAATGATTTATGAAGGTCTTGTTGTTTTAATCAGAATGTTATCAAGGATGAGACTATCAATCACAAAATATTGTAAAGACAACAACATACATGTACATTTCTGGGACAAGATAAACAATGTAAAATCTCAACAATTCACTTAAAAAAAAACATGTCAAGAAAAACTTATTTTCCATTTGAAGCAAATATCTAATCTAAAATTCTGCTTAACAGATCATTCCTTGGCAAAATTCAAACCTGGTTTTGTGGATTCAATTAAACCCACAAATGAAAAGGAGCACAAAGTGAAAAAAATGATAAAAAAGAAGAGGAAGAATTATTAATTAGTACAGAAGAAGTTAAATCTCTCGCTGCCGTTTCTTTTGAACAACTGATGCTCTCCTCCTGCCTCCATGGCTCCAAACTTGTTACACTCATCCTGTTCATCCCAGGCCCAGTTATTACAGAGCCAGAACCAAACTTTCAAAGTGCAGTTGTAACGCAGTCCAATCCAGACAAACTCAGTCGATGCGTTCTTGGTTTTTTCCTCGATCCATCTCTGTTCATCCATGTTGGTGATGGTGACCAGGTCACTGTGGTTCTGTCTGCAGTAGGTCAAGGCCTCATGCCAAGTTTTATTTTCCTTGATCAGGATC